CAAGTTTGCACTCCCATCAGCAATGGAAGAGTGTTCCCCTTACTCCAATCCTCTCCAGCATAAGCTGTCATCAATCTTGGTCATTCTGATAGGTGTAAGATGGTATCTCAGGGTTGTTTTGATTTGCATTTCCCTGATGGCTGAGGATGTTGAGCATTTTCTTCAATGTTTTTTGGCCATTTGAGTTCTCTTCCTCTGTTGAGAGTTCTTTGTTCAGCTCTAAACCCCATTTTTAATTGGGTTATTGGTCTTTTGATGTCTAGTTTCTTGAGTTCTTTGTATACTTTGGAGATCAGTCCTCTGTCCAGATGGGTTGGTAAAGATCTTTCCCATTTTGTAGGTTGTCTGCCTCCTTTTATTCTTAGATTTTAGAGAGAAGAACCAAAACGCTATATGTGGTTGTCTTAGTGTTCTATTGCTGTGAAGAGACACCATGACCACAGTAACTCTTATAAAAAAAACATTTAATTGGGGCTAGCTTACAGTTCAGAGGTTTAGTCCATTATCATCATGTCAGGAAGCATGGCAGCATGCATGCAGACATAGTGCTGGAGAAGCAGTTGAGAGTTCCACATCCAGATCTGCAGACAGCAGGAGGAGAGAGACACTGGACCTGGTATAGGCTTTTGAAACCTCAAAACCCACCCCCAGTGACACACTTCTTCCAATAAAGCCATATCTACCCCAACAAAGCCATACATCCTAATCCTTTCAAATAATCATTCAAATATTTGAGGTTGTGGGGACCATTCTTAATTCAAACCACCACAGTAGGATTGAGTTTTCAGAGCCCTAGCTCTCCAAGAAAGTCTCTGTTGTTCTCAAGGACACCCCATATTTCTATATTGCTTTGTAAGTAGAAAATGCAAATGAAAAATGGTGATGAATGCCTATAACCCTGATGTTTGATAGGTGGATGTAAAAGGATCGGGAATTCAAAGTCAGTCTTGGCTAAGTAGTTAGTTCAAGGCCAACCTAGGCTACATGAGACTCTTTCTCAAAACAAAAGCAAACAAACATTCTGTATACATAACTAAAGCTTGAGCACATTGGAGGTTTGTCTACCCTATTCTGAATGCTCAAAGCACTTAGAAAATCATCTAGCCCATCTTACACTGTTGGATATTATTGAAATGTGAACAAGACAGGTGATCCAAGGCATTGAGATTATTACCAGGAATCAAGTTATTATTAACACCATGGACAGACAGACAGAGGTGATGGGGGACATCCTTCTGTGTATGTTTGTCTTATTGGTTGATAAATAGAGTACTGTTGGCCACTAGGGAAGCAAGTTAGGCGGAATTAGGAGTCGAGGAGTATTCTGGGAAATGTAGTAAAGAGAAGTCTTATGATCCAGGCAGGAAGTGACATACCAGGCAGACTCAGAATGTAAGCAGGGACAAGCAGGAAATCATTCTCTTCCTCCTCCTCTTTTCTCTGGAGTTTGGAGTCATCATGTGAGTGCCAGGAGGCGTTCTTGTTAAGTCTTTATAAAATATATAGATTAGTAATTATGGTTGATAATGAAGACTGAGCTAGTGGATAAGAAATCCTAGTCGTTGGCCAGCAGCATTGTACCTATTGTAAGTCTCTCTGTGTTATTTTGGGCGCCCACATGGTGGCAGGGCTCGGGCAGCTGGCGGAAAGGTTTATCGTTATACCGAGGGGCTCTGATGAGCCCTAGAACTAGGGACAGATGGAGGAAGAGGAGGAGAGGGAGAGGGAAAAAGGAGAGGAGGAGGAGAACCAGAGCAAAAATGCCAGAGAAAGTAGCCTCTTAGACCTTATCAGATGAAGGGAAGTTGATAGTGAGAGTCACTACCAGGCTGTCTGGGTCCCAGTCTGGAGGCAGCGAAGGAGGTGGAACAGTATACGTGGGGTCTATGCTGTGACATCAATGTTCTTTCATGTCAGCTCACTTCCCAGGTGAGAAAGTCTGTCTGTATTGACCCACTAGGATGCCTTTCTGTTGGGAGTTCTTGCCGGTATTGCCACTGGCAGGAAAGAGAACCAGGAAGAGGTAAGAATGAAAACTTGGGACAGTGCCTTTTTTTATTTTTCAAGACAGGGTTTCTTTGTGTAGCCCTGGCTATCCTGAAACTAGCTCTGTAGAGCAGGCTGACCTTGACGCCTCTGTCTCCCAAGTGCTGGGATTAAAGGTGAGCACCACCACTGCCTGGCTGACAGTACCATCTTTGTGGGTACTGGGTAAAGACCTCCAGTAGTGTTGAATATTATTTTAAGATGTGTTATATTTGTTTATGCTGTGGAACATTTGTTTAATGATGCAAAGATTTGTTATGTTCTTTTATGTTACATTTGTTTAACTCTGTGAAGCTGTGTTACTTTGCCTGTCTAAAACACCTGATTGGTCTAATAAAGAGCTGAATGTCCAATATCAAGGCAGGAGAAAGTGTAGGCGGGGCTGGCAGACAGAATAAATAGGAGAAAAAGAGAAAAAGGAGCAAGAAAACAAGAAGCGAGAAAAGAAGGGGACAGCCACACAGCCAGAGACAGAGTAAGAAGTAAAGAAAGAAATACAGAAATAGAGAAAGGTATAAGCCCAGAGGCATAAAGTAGATGGGATAATTTAAGAAAAGCTGGCTAGGCCAGGAATTCATCAGGAAGAATAAGCCTCTGAGTGTGATTTATTTGGGAGCTGGGCGGCAGGCCCCCAAAAGAGTAAAACAGCCAAGTATACTCCAGGGGCTGACCCTTACACATTTAAACATAGTAGAACTGTGACCTGTGGCCTTTACAGTAAGAATGAGTTCTGTTTGCCGGGAAACAGAGGTCAGGGCTAGTGCCTAGAGAAGGATCTGTCATAGGTATAAGGGTAGATTCTATTGGTGGAGGATACAAAGAACATGGGGTCTCTTTCATAGGGATGCATTCTGTTCACTAAGAGACTAAGCTCAGGATTAGAGCCTCAACAATGTTCAGGATACTGGAGGATTTAGGGAGGCCTACTCGTAGAATAGCGAAAACATCACCAGGTTTATTGACCACCTTTCACTCTGGCGTTCCAGGTGACTAGGCATCATTTATTTCCTTCCATTGAAGAAAATAGGTTCACGTGATTGACAGTCCCAGTTTACCCAATGCTTATTCTAAGCTGCACTCCCTACACCTTTCAGTGTCTGTGAGAGGGGAGAACTTTCCTATGGTATGTCATATAATGGATTGAGTACTGCATTGAAAGTCGAAAGCAGAGTGGGCATATGGGAATGCTCTCCCTTTGCCATAAAATTGAAAAGTGTTTGGTTAACAATATTAACTGTTAGGTCAGATATTTTCATCATGAGATTGTTGTGTGGATTTTTTTTGTGTGCATACAAGTGTATATTCATGTGCACATGTGTAAACAGGCCAGAGGTTGACATTGGGTGCCTTCTTTAATCACTGTCTACCTTTTATTTTTTGAGACAGGTCTCTCACTGAACCTGAAGCCCTCAGATTCAGCCAGGCTGACTGTCAAGCTCCAAAGGTCATCCTGTTACCCCAGTGCTGGGAGTACAGGGGTATACCACCACACTCACATTTTACATGGGTACTGGGGATCTTACACAGATCCTCATGTTTGCATATCATGTACCTTGCTAACTGACCATCTCCCTACCCCCTACAGTGAGGAATTTTTTAAAAAAATGTAGCATGGGGCTGGAAAGATTGCTCAGTGGTTAGGCTTACCTGCTACTGGTCCAGACTTCAATTAGATTCCCAGCACCCACATATCAGCTCACAGCCATCTGTAACTCCAGTCTTGGGAGATCTCCTGCCCTCTTCTGGCCTCTGTGGGCACTACACAAACAGTATGCAGACATGCAAAAGTCTATATGTTAAAAAAAAAAAGGAGCATGGAAAACATTTAACACAGTACCTGATTAAAGTGTGAGGCCACTGTTTACAGTGAGTCCTAGAGCTTTATAAGTTGCTGTCAGCATTGTAATTGATATAGTCAGTAAGATTTGGAGGCCATCGTGGAGCCTGGGGCATTGGTATGCTAGGTTGAGGTCTGATATTTTATTTACTGCCTGTCTAGGACAGTAAAAGGGAAGGCTGCTTGTGAGTTTGCCAGACACAGTGGTAGTGGTTGAGTGCTTTGGGGTGATCATGTTGTCCACTGCTTAGGTGTCTTCACTTATGTTTCTTCATTGTGAGACTGACTCTGGGACCTTCAAGTAATAGAGAGGCTTCACTTATAACTCCAGTGAGAGGAAGCAAGTGGCAGCCTCTATGATATGTGTTATGTGGTCATTTCTTCTGTTTATTTATTTATTTATTTATTTATTTATTTATTTATTTATTTAAGATAGGACCTCATGATGTAGTTCTTGCTATCCTGGAACTCATTGTGTAGACCAGGCTAGTCTCAAACTCACATAGATCCACCTGCCTCCACATCCTGGCTTATTTATTTATTTTTGAGGAGAACAAGATTCTAGACTCTAATGAAAAAATGGGATCTTAGTATGGTCAACATGAGCCTTAGAAGTGTACCTTAAGGTTACTCCAGAATTCCAGATTAACATTTGAAGAAGCCAGAATATGACTACCCTGTTGAAGTCCCAAGGTTTATTTAAAACCTTTTTTTTCTAGATTTTTTGATCCAAAGTTGTGATTCCATGAAGCTGTTTGAAACTTCTTATGTAAACGGTCTTAAAAAAATTTATTGGTATACTTGAAAATTACCACCATTGAATAAAATCAGCTGTTTCCTCTCCCTGAGCCTGCAGCAGTACCTATCCACATTCAGTTTTGGTGTTGCTCCTGAATGCTAAGTAGATGTCACACGACAGGTCTATATACTGGCTGGCTTCATCTACTTGTTTTGCTTTCTCAGTGAGTAAAGAGCACATCTCACTTATCAGGTTTCCCCAAGGAAATATAGGCAACCTTGGTGGAAGGAGTTGGTGCCTCTGAGGGGCCAACCCTTCCAGCTAGATCTTTTCAAACATGAAATAGCAAAAGCATTATAATTTCTCCCCTCTTTTCAGATCTAATGTTTTGGCATGGCTTCCTGCTTCAGTGCTGTTCGTGGGTATAATCTACGCAGGGTCCAGAGCTTTGTCCAGACTGGTAAGTATTAGAATGTGTATGGGGTGGGTGAGAACACAAACCCTTTTTCCTTGTCACCTTTGTGTTTTAATTTATTTCACCTGGTATCATTTGGGAGCAGACATTAGCTTGAAAGTAAAACTAGATCAGAGAATAGAGGTAGGTGTTGGTTAGCTTACTGGAGCTGTGATCAAAATACCCAAGGGAACAACTTAAGGAAATACACTTTGTCTCATTGTTTCAGAATGTCCCAGACTGAGTCCTTGCCTCTTAGGTTTTGGGCCTGTGGTAAGGTTGAACAGTGGAGGATGTGTTTGAGCTGTTCACTCCATGGCAGTTGGGAAACGGGAAGATGGAAGGTGGAGGGCCAGGCGTGACTTTCAAAGGCCTGCCCCAGCAACCTACTGGAGGTCTTGCTACCTAAAGTTTCCAGACTTTCCCAAATTAGTATCACTACCCAGGGACCAAGCCTGCAGTATGTGAGCTCTCTGGGGGGACACACTTGATAGCCAAACCTGGGCCTAAGATAACATGAAGCATTTCTTTTTCCTGCTTTTGTTGAATTGAAGATAACTAGAAAATATGGCAGGGTCAGCTTGTCTCACAAGGAGGAGATGGGCAAAGAGAGAAGCAATAGCAACAGTTGTGAAGTCTGCCCCAGAATTGAACCACTGGAAGAACCAGTGCTTTTAACCACTGAGCCAGCTCTCTAGCCTGGAGTTTCCCTTTTAAACAGACTGTCTTCCTCTGCAACCCATTCTAGCTTTAACTTACAATTCTTTGTCTTTGGTCGACTGAGCAGTAGCTGTGATTACAAGTGTGTGTCACGAAGCCTGGCCACATAGAACTGTTTTACTTTGTTAGAAAGCTCACTCTAGTTTAAGTAGTAAGGAAGTGAACTGGTTTATGTAAGTAAGTTATAGGATAGAGACCCACTTTCAAGTCTGGCTAGACTGCCGTGACGTACCCAGAAAATCCAGTTTGTCTCTTTGTCTTTCACGTCTACAGGGTATCTGTTCCAGGGTCACCCCCTCCCCTCTGGTGTCACTAACCTCAGTCTCACCTCCTCATAGTTCCTAAGGAGAGCTGTAGCACAAATTCTAATTGGTCAGATATAGGGGTAAATGCTGAAAGATCAGAGAAACAGAGCAGCCAGCCATTAGTTCTTACCTTTACTGAATCCTCAGACCAAAGGGGACAAGATTCTGTTTCCACGAATCCTCAGACTGAATACCTGATCCTGTCTCTAGGAATCCTCCTGTCTCTTCCTGCACTATATTCCTCTCTCTGCCTAGCCATATTACTTCTGTCTCCATCTCCCAAGTACTGGGATTAAAGGTGTGTGCCACCACTGCCTGGCCTCTATGGCTAACTAGTGGCTTAGCTCTGCACTCTGATTTTCAGGCAAGCTTTATTTGTTACAGCACAAACAAAATATCACCACAGACACTGGTTCCTAATGGCTCTATCTGAGTCCCAGGCTTCACTTAGATTGGGGTCACTGCCCATTGCTGTTCTGCAGACTAGCTGGGAGGGTGAGGCCACGTTTTCTAGCCTGTCATGAATTCGCTTTGCCATCACCCACTGTTACTAGAGAAGCATGGAGCACTGTCTGAACTAGACTGAGAAGAGGCCGTGGCTCTTCTCATGTTCAGGCACCTTACTGCAAGAAGGGACTCAAATACCAGGTGTCTGAAATTCCCCCAAACCCCATAAATGTCCATTCAGCCCGTTCTCAGCAGTGAGGTTCTGCACCCCGAAACAATGCTTCAGAAGGATGATTTCTAGCAAGCCTGTCTTTGAGCTTGTTCTTTGGTTACAGGATTTATATCAAATTCAACCCTAAATATACTGTTCAGTTCAGCTATCTTGTGGTTCACAACAAAATTTTTTGAAAAAGTTGATTTACATTCTAGTTGAACCAACTGACTTCCATTTCATGAGAGATCCTGAACCTGTCAGTTGAGAGGACTGACCTAGAGCACAGCTTTGTCCAACAGGCATAGATAAGCTGCTCAATTCATATCTGCTAGAAAAAGCATCCCCATACACATATGCCCATTGGGAGTGGGAGGACAATGAGTAGGAGACATTTGTTAATTGTTTTTTAGTGACAGAATCCAACCAAACATCTTTTCAGTTCTTTGTTTTTACATTGCGGTGTAGCCATTCATAGGTGGATAAACACCAGGCACTCAGACAGTTTGTGTTGGATGAAAACCAGTCCTCACTATTCTGGTGCCAAACTGTCAGTTAATGTTCGCTTGAAGAATTGGGGGCTAGTGCAGTTAAAATCCGTGGGTGTATTGATATAAGAAACACCTTTGAGTAGCTGTGCTTCAGAAAGGCCTCCTTGATCTGACAAAGCCTTGAAGCTCTGTGATGTACAGCACCTGGGAGTAGAGCAAGCTTCTCTGTGCCTTGTGGGGAGTTTTTGTGGGTTCCCACATCACATTTACAATTGACATGTAGAGGTTAGAAGCATTTCTACGTTCGCTGTTGTCATTGTTACTTGTTTTTTGTTTTTGTTTTGCTTTTTTTTTTTTTTTTGGAGGCATGAATTCATTTGTCCCTGGCTGTCCTAAAACTGTGTAGCTGAGGATGACTTTGAACTTGTAATTCTCCTGCCAACTCCTCCTGAGTCTGGGATGACAGACATGTGCTGGCTTGGCTGGCTTATGCTGTTCTGGGATTGATACAGGGGTTCTTTAGCCCTAAGCAAATTGTGGAGTTGAGTTGACTTTTGGTTCACAGCAGGTCTTGGGGGAGCAGATCATTGACTCACATTTTAGTGTAGTACTAGGCAAGCACTCCACCAACCCAGCTACACTCCAGACCGTGGGAGGATTATTTTATAGTTATTCAGCAGGTAGGCATTTGAGACCACTGAGTTCTTAAAGACACAGACGACATGGTTTCTGACCCTGAGGAAATTAAAGGGGTGTGGGCCAAAGAGAGACACATGTTCCCAGAGGAACAACTGCTGTGAGTGTGCATTGTGGAGATGTGTCAGGCATTCCTGTTTCCTGTCTTGATGATATATGGATTTATGTTGGACTTACTGTCTTTTTTTGCACGAGATGATTCAGGCCTGCATGTCAGCTTTTTTACAGTGGATGAGGTCACAGTGATGGTGGCTCTCATGCCCTGAAAGCAGTCTTTGGGCAGTGCAACTCTGATGGGCAATTATTACTGTCATTGTAATTCCTGGCCAAAGTCTCAGCAAGACAGAATTGCCTCAAAGCCTGAGTGCCAAGGGATAAGGACAGATGTTTACTTTAGATTTCTCTGTAAATAGTGGCTGGTGTTGGCTGCCTGGTTAGAGCATGCTGAATATTTTCCTGAGGAGGTAAGGCTAGGGTGAACAGCTAGAGCGACCACAAATGCAGAGACTACTAAATAGGACTGGATTGGTTTCTATCTCTCTTTCCTTCCTTTCTCCTTCCTCTTTTCCTCCTTTCTCTCTTTTCTTCCCCATTCCCTCCTTCCTTTTCCCTTTTTGGTGGCAAGGTGTCATGTAGCCTGGGCTGGCATGGAACTCCACTGTGTGGTGGAGGATTGACGGTCTCTATCTCCAGAGTGCTGCAAGTACAGGCATGTATCACACCTGGCCTCTGGGTTGGTTTTTGTGTTTTGCCCAAATCTTTGAACTTGGTCCTTCTAATTGTTTGTCGAGGTTTCTGGCTTCTGTAAGCATAGTTGTCACTCAGCCATGTCATAAGTGGACAGGAGGTGGAAATACCACTGGAGAAAAACATGGTTAATTAAACCATAGTGAGCAAGTTACTTATTGAGCAGAATGGCATCTGTGGTCCCCTTTCATTGTTTGTCTCCACATAAAGGAGTTTGTATCCACAAAGGTAAAACATGTGTCATCTAGAATGAAGACTGCCCCAGCATGTTTCCATTAGAGATGGCCCTCATGCCTCTTCCTTCTTCACTTTTCCTCTTTCCCACCCTTCTTTCTTTGGTACCAATGATGAACCCAGGACTTGGCATGTGCTAAGCAAGTACTCTACCTCTAAGCTATATACCCAGTTCTTTCTTTAAAAAAAATAGTAATTTTATTCTTAAGATTTTCATAAATGTATACAAGATATTTTGGCCATATTTACTCTATTCCTCTGAATCCTCCTAGACCCAAACTCTAAGCCCCTCCAGATTCATGTCTTTTTAAATTTAATTTTCCTTTTTTTTTTTTTAATTCACCAAGGGGTTGGAGAGTTAGCTCAGTTGTTAAGCATATTGGCTGCTCTTCCAGAGCTCATAGGTTTGATTTCCTGCATCCATGTGATGGATGGCTCATAGCTATCTATAACTCTTCTTCTTGGGAAATCTGATGCCCTCTTCTGACCTCAGGCACTAGACACACAGATGGTACATAGACATACATGTAGGTAAAACATCTACACATGTGAAATTAAAAAAAAAAAATGACCTGCCAAGTCATTCAGTGTGTGCTGCTCATGTGCTCATGGGTGTTGGCTATTCATGAGGCTGTGGTTGGTCCCCCAGAGTCCATATCCTACTAGAAGCTATCTGCTATTGATAGTGCCTCAGCTACGGGTGAGGCACTCTGTGCTGCAGGGTTGGGTGTCTTATCTTGTGTTGTCAGCCGCAGCTGCTGTGGGGTCATGAGTGCAGTGGTCCTGTCATATCCAGAAGATACCCTTTGATCCAGTCTTCACTGGCCTCTGGCTCCTTCTTCAGTGATGGTCCCTGAGTTTTGTGCAGAGATGAGAGAGAGGTCCCATGTGTGGATGAACACTCCATAGACACTTGTTCTCTGCAGGCACCAGGTACACACTTGACCACAGATATATAGGTAGGGAAAACATCCATAAATGTTAAGTATAATTTGTAAACAGGAAAATGCAGATATTAACTCCTGGTAACACTCCTTCATTTCCATCAGGATGACTGTGATCAAACCACAGGTGCTGGTAAGGACGTGGTGAAATCTGGATGCTTCCGCAGTCCTGTCAGAAACTGGAAATAAATAGTATGGCTGATGTGGAAAACAGTGTGGTATCCATGAAAAAAAAAAAACCTAAAAATTGCCAGGTATACTGGCTCATACCTGTAAATTCTAGCATCCAGGAGGCCGAGGCAGGAGGATTGCCAAGAATTTAAAGCCATTCTGGGCTTTAGTAAATTACATAGTGAATTGCAAGCTAGCCTAGGCTATAGTGTAAGATGCAGTCTTAAAAAACAAGCATCTCAAGGTTGCTTTCTGCAAAGAGGGCTTGCCTGAGTGCAGTTATTTTGTATAATACATTAAGGATATATCTGCATATTTAAAAAAATCACCCAAAGAAAGAAACAGGACTGCCATTGTTTTACAGAAATTAAGAAGCTAACTCAGGCAGCTAGTGACGTGACTCAGCAGGTAAACATGCCTGTTGATAAGCATGAGGACCTGAGTTCAATCCCTGGGACCCACTTGGTGGAGAGAATTGACTCCTCTAGGTTGTCCCTTGATCTCTACATGTATCCCATGTGTCCACACTCAACTACTCCCTACATACACGGAAATAACTAAAATGTAATAATACTAATAAAAAAGAAGCTAATCCATGGGCTGTACTTGACTGAGGGTCATGCATACCTGTGTAGATTGACCGAAGGCCATGCCTGTGGGCAGGACCAGGGTTTTCTGTGGAAAATTTTCTGTATTTGAAGGCCCTAGAACCTTTAGGAAGTGGGGGTGGGCCTTAGAGGGTTAGTAAGCTGGCTCCACTTTCTTGACTGGTCTGAATGAGAATGGTCCCTATAGGCTCACATATTTGAATGATTAGTCTCCAGCTGGTGGAACTGTTTGGGAAGGACTAAGAGATGTGACCTAGCTAGAGGAAGTGTGTTACTGGGGTGGGTGGCCTTTGGGGTTTCAAAAGCCCATGCCATTCCCAGTCAGCTCTCTCTGCCTCATGGTTGTTGCCTGAATATGTGAGCTTTCAGCTGCTGCTCCAGCACCATGCCTGCCTGCCTGCTGCCAGGCTCCCTGCCATGGTGGTCATGACTCTAACCCTCTGAAACTGTAAGCAAGCCCTCTTTATAAGTTGCTGTGGTCATGGTGTCTTATCATGGCAATAGAACAGTAACTAAGACACTGACTACAGAGGTAGTATGACCATCTGCATCATGCTTATGGTGCCACATGCCTTTCTTCCCTGTCAGTCATGCTGGGTGGGATCCCATCAAACTGTGAGCCAGAATAGACCCTTGCCGTTTTAGTCAGGTGTTTGGTCACAGTAATGGGGAAATAATGAATACAGCAGGTGTTCCCAAAGAACCAGTCCCCAGGAAGCCCCTTGAACCAATGTCTCATAGTTTAGAGTGAGGCTTTTGCAGTCAGAGACCAAGGAAAGATCAATAAAGCAGCTGATGTCTTAACATTAACATCATCTGCATATAGACTTTGGAAAATGCTTAAGAAAAAATGCAAAGTAAAGAGTTGCTGGTTATGAGTGCACTGGGTGTGGAGTTGCATGGTTGTAATCCCAGCACTTAGGAGTTGCTGCTTATGAGTGCACTGGTGCTTAAGACTGTGGGAGAGGGGCCTGGACATACACCCACCCAAATGAACATTTCAAGGGCTAGAGAGACAGCTCAATGGTTAAGAGCACTTGCTGCTCTTGCAGGACCCAGGTTCAGTTCTTAGCACCCACACTATGGCTTCCACTATCTCTAACTCCAGTTCCAGTTAATCTGATGCCCTCTTCTGGCCTCCATTGGCATTGCATGCACATGGCACACAAACACTCACATGGAGAAAGAACTCAGAGTAAGTAAACCCTGGAGGAAAAATGAAGAACACTTCAGCAAAAGAGTCTTTGCTGGAGAGACTGAATGCTGCATGCTCCCACACATCCTATTTTTAGACAAAAGTCAAGTAGCTGAAAGATGGGAGAAGGTGTTTTCATGCTTGTTATTCTGTTTGCTTTCAGGCTGTTCCTGTGTTTTTCATTTTGCATAATGTAGCTGAAGTTCTCATCTGCGGGTACCAGAAGTGTGTCAGGAAAGAGGTAAATGATCAAGCAAAATGCTAGTTTCACAGCTCTTCCTTTAAGTGTCAAAGATCTGCTTTTCAAAGTCAATGGCCTGTCCTGGATAGGATTACTATGGCTTAGATGAAACACCAAAAACAGCTTGAGGAAGAAAGGGTTTATTTCACTCACATTACATTCAACACTTCATCTCAAAAGTAGTGAGGGGTAGGAATCTGGAGGCAGAAGCTGATGCAGAAACCACGCAGGGGAACTGCCCACTGGCTTGCCTCCCTGGCTTGCCCAGCCTGCTTTCTTATAGAACCCGGGACCTCCAGTCCAGGGATGGCTCCACCCACAGTGGACTGGACCCTCCCCCATCAATCACTAATTAGGAAAATGCCCTATGGGCTCGCTTGCAGCTGGATCTTTTGGAGGCCTTTTCTCAATTGAGGTCCCTCTTTTCAGATGACTAGCTTGGGTTAAGTTGACATAAAATCAGCCAGCACACAGTCCAAGTGGATGTCCTTTTCTCCCACCAGTTCCAGTCAAGACTGCCTGGCAGTGGTCACTGGTTCAGGCTTACTTGATGATGGGAAATGCAACTGGACTCCAGGCCAGGGAAGAACCAGACCCTCAGCAAACAAAGAGGAATTTGCTGTGGGAAAGAATTCCCACTTGTAGCTAGTCTCAACAGCACAAGGGAGCATACAGCTGAGATTCATACAGGGTACTGGCCCTTTGTGCACTCTGGGGAGACTGGCTTTTTTTTCCAGTGCTTACCCTGTCTGACACAATCACTAAAGAACTAGAAAATCACCCAAGACTTTGAGCAAGTGGAGCTACATTTAGGGACAACCTTGGGGAGCATCTTCTCAAACAAAGAGATATGGGACCACAAGAAAGGTAAGTGAGTGGTAATGAAGGGAGAAACACTGGGCAGCTAGAACAACAGAGGACAAGGTGGGAGAACCAGGAAGAAGAATGAAGGAGCAATCCCACGAGTGTCTGTCTGCTGAGCCATCTCCCCTGCCTGCTGGTTCATTTTATAACCAAATAGTGGCAGTTTGAGGATTGTTTGCTGAAATGTTGACATCTGGAAGTTTTCAGCTTCCTCTTCGAGGATCTAATTCTCTCAGCACCCTAGGTTTTTTTTTTTTATTTTATTTTTTTGCCTGTTCTACAGTAACCCTGAAATAGGATTTAGGGCCATCACTTTTGGGGCTTCCGTCTTTGAAAGGCCACACTAATGATACTCAACTCATGGATCTTAGGGAGGACACAATAGCAAGGGTTAAGTGCTTCCTGCCCTTGTTGGCACATAGTAGGTATCCTGTGATTATTTGCGATAACAGTGGTGGCTTTAATCTGGTCCCTCTCTCAAGAGTTTTTTTCTGATATCTGTTCATTTGGTTTTCTATCATATTTTGATTGAACTTCTGAACTGCAGAGAAGCTAGCTGGCTGGCTACTTGAGACCAAACAGAGAGAGAGAGAGAGAGAGAGAGAGAGAGAGAGAGAGAGAGGTGACCTTGTCACAGTCAGTGTCCCTATCATCCCTAGCTGGCTTCCTTTGACTGCCCTTCCCCCAAATCAGAGCCACAGGAGGAACTTCCTTATAACCCAGGAGTAAGCCCCAGGGCTTCTGGTTAGTCACTTTCTTCTCTGAGATTCAAATTCAGCTGTTCAGCTTTTGGGGAGCCTGACTCACACCACCTACATTTTTAGCCACAAGTTTAGAGATGAGGACCTGCAATTCCCCAGAACTCTGCTTCCCAGTTGGTTAGACAAATTCTACAGATAAGGGCAGGGTAAGAATGGGGTTAAGTGAGAGAGTAACCCCAGGATTTCTCTGTCCTCCAGGAGACCCTTCTTTACTTGCAAATTAGGATCAGGCTTCTGGCTGAAATGATTAGTGACAGTAGCTAGTGAACACAAAATATTTAGAGTCTTCAACTCTATTTCATTAGTCACACAAACCAACAAACCATCTCTTTCTTTGCCCAGGCTACTTCAAATCTCTAACTCAGCATGGAGCTGAGGATGGCCTTGAAACCCTTAGGTGTGTGTGACTACTCCTAGCTAACACCACTTCTTGTCAGAGTAAACTGGGAAGCAAGCAAGTGGGTGAAAATTTCAGTCATTTAAAAAACCCTCTGGCTGGGGACATAGCTCAGCTGGTAATGTCCTTACTGAGCTTGTGTGAAGCCCTGGGTATGATGGCTTGTGTTTATTATAATCCCAGCACTTGTCAAGTGGATCAGAAGTTCAAGGTTATGCTTGGCTATATAGGGATATATGAGACCCTGTCTCAAACAAAGCCCAAACAACCTTTCCACAGTAAGTGCAGTGAGATATAAGTAGCTTTAGAAAATGCAAAGAAAAAAAAAAAAACTCCAGAAGAACCTGCTTCTATTTTGAAACAGAAGTTTTATTTGCATATATATAATGTACTGACACACACAGCCTTTTCATTTGACAAGTCTCAAGACATCTCACTGCTGTTGCTGTTCCATGTTGGACGAAACATGTGTGGGCCAGTTCCTGTTTGCTCACTTGTAGGTGTTTTTTTTTTTTTTTTTTTTTTCCAGTTTGTCATTAAAATCTTCCCTGAGATGAAGATTTCTGGGTTTCTGATTGTGTTGTGTTGATTTTTTTTTTTTAGTCAGGGCCTACTTTGTAGCTCTGACTAGTCTGGAACTCAGTATGTAGGTAGACTAATGCTGGGCTTGGACCACAGAGATCTTCCTGCCTCTGCCTCCTAAGCACCTGACCTTGAACTCCTGATCCTTGTGCTCCTGCCTCCACAGTTCCGGGACTCCAGGTCTGTACCTTCACAACTGGTAGCCTTGAGACAAGGCTCAGTCTGTAGCCCAGGCTGGCCTGGGACCTGAAATTCCACCCGTGCCACCTCCTTGATGTGGGATATGTCCTTACTGTAACTTGCGTCTGAGACCTACATCTGAGAACCTGAAAGGATGTATTCCCATGAAGAACACAGTTGTTCCCTTCCTCAGGCTCTGTCAGATGTCACAGTAAGGGCTAGTGAGGTGGCTCGCTGGGTAAGGGGCTTGCCTCCGAGCTGTATAACCAAGAACCCACGTGGTGGAAGAAGAGGACTGACTGCCATAAGTTGTCCTCAGACCTGCTGATGCACACCCCCACTAATAACAAATGTCAAAAGTTATGAGAAGGTCTGGCTTTATCACGATATATAAATTGCATTTACCATTATGTGTAAATTTGTAAATTCTAGAGAGTAAAATTGACTCCCTCATGATATCATTCCCAAATTATGAGGGTTAACGTAATGTAGAATCTGCAAGCCAGTTTTTCATCATCCACAGTTAGTTCTGTGTGTTCTTTCTCTGCTGTGCCCCTCCTCCCCAGCTCATGAGGAGCCTGGCTGTAAGATAATGGTGGCTGTGGGATTATCCTCACTGCCTGGTATGCGTAGAATACTGTCACTGGTGGTTTGGTTTTCCATGTGTGTTGTTTATACTAAATAGCAAACATTCTGCCAGGCCTAAAGTTGAGATGAGGAAAGTGTACTTATGACCCTTACAGAGCTTGGTGTTAACATGTAGGCCATGATGCCCATTGGATCATATGTGGGTTGCAGCTGGGTGCAGGGGGCCAGTGACCACAGGGAAGTCTCTCTAAGGGCTAGATTTGAGTTGAGGTCCATGGGATGGGTGGGGGTTTTTAGTTGGACAAGAGGAGAAGATATGCTTCAGATCCGCAGAGGAAGCAACTGGAGGGTGGTGGCTTAAGGTCAAAGGGGCTATCAGTGAAGTACTGGCAGGCAAGGTGTGGCATTAAAGGGTCAGGTGTGGAACCAGAATGCTGAGCCCAAACCCCAAGACCTTGGACAACCTCTTCCCATAATTATACCAGACAATACAGGTAAAGCCCAGTACACACTAAGTGGTGCTTGCAGGAAATTAGATAATCCAGAGTGATTTTAGCCCTTATTGTGACTGCTTCCCCTTTTAAATGGGTTCTTTCTCACTGTGTAGTTCTGACTAGCCTTGACCTTACAGACCTCCTGTCTGTCTCCCCAGGGCTGGGGTTACAGGCCTGTGCTACCACTCTCAGCCAGAAATATGACTTTGCATATTTCTGGAGTTGCAACCCCAGACTGTGAGATATTATTGGGACTGCTTATTCTGGAGCAAACCCTTGAAAATGAGAATGCTTTACAGCAATGTCCCAGTTGTGCATGGAGTCCCAGGGGAATGGAGCTATGCAATGAGCGCGCATTGTGTTCTCACTCTGCCCCTCGGCTTCTTTAGTCCGTCTGAAAGGGTTTGAAGTTTAAAAAAATATCTGGGCATGCTAACTTACACCTGTAATCCCAGTCCTCAGGGGGCTGAGGCAGGGGGATTATTTTGAGTTCAAGGCCAGCTTGAGCTACACGGTGAGTTCTAAGCCAGCCTGAGATGCAGAGTATGTCTCATGAAAACAAAATAGGGGAGAGTGGTGGTGCCCTCCTGAATCCCAGAGCTGGAAGGTGAGTGAATTCAAGGCCTGCTGGGATACATGAGCCCTGTACCAAAACAAACAAACAAACAAACAAACAAACAAAAACACAAAAAACCCCAGAATAGATATGGTGAAAATATTAATTAAGAAAGACTGCCCATCTGGGAGGCTGAACTCTTAGGGACTGGGTACCAGCATTGTTCAGTTTCAAGCCCTGCAGTGGTTGCTGGGTAGACATGTTATTCATAGCAAAGGTAGATGGCCCCACAACCTCTGCCCCCCATGCTTGCTTTTAGCCAGACTTGTGAGGTTTCCTCTATATTGAGCTTCTAATATAGTTTGAAAGACAGCATATTTTACAATAACCGGGTCGAAGATGCAGGTCTTATGAGCCAGGCACTCTACCCACTAGGGGGCAGTACAGCCATGCTTGCCCTGCTTCCCATGTTCAGAAAATCCCAAAGATACAAGTCATAGCTTTGTACTCAAATAGAAGCTGCTTACTAAAAGAACAGTAGCTTGATTATTTACTAACACATGAAAACTTAAGACATCCTGGAGAGCAGACCGGTGTCAGAATGCCCTGGAACTGGCTCCT